CTTGTGGTCTCTTCCAACTCTATGATTCAATGATTCTATGATTCTATGCTTTGAAATCAGTTAATTGTATCAGAGCATTAAGACCTTTATTTTCCCCTTTCCTTCCTTCCTTCTTCTCCTTCTTTTTATATCAAAACAGACTAACCTGGTTGCTATTTGAAAATGCCTTGCAGGTGCATCAGATAGCCTGAGACCATCAGATAGCCTGTCAATGTCAGGCACTGACTCCTGGGGTGGGGGTGGGGGTGGGGGTGGAGCCTCCGCATTGCAGAAATAATCTGGTTTGACACCACTTTAACTGGCATGGCTCAATGCTGTGGAATAATGGGAATCTGTAGTTTGTTGTGGCAACCAGAGCTCTCTGACAGAGAAAGCTAAATGTCTCTCGAAACTACAATGCTCAGAATTTCATAGCACCGAACCATGGCAGTTATAGTGATGTCAGACTTGATTACTTTTGCAGTGCAGAGGCAGATCCGGTCTCTCCCTCCAGCAGTCAGTGCATTTTGACTGTTCATGACAATTGGAATTTTGTAACCAGTGAATTGTTTGAACTCTTAATTATATGGTGTAAATGAAAAAAAAAATCAGTCCTGACACCAACTATGTACTGTGATCTATTTTGCTTACTGAATAAAGCTTTTTTCTGAATTTGCTGGAGGCTTGTGTTCCTGGAGTGGAGTTAATCTGTCCATTACAGCTTATGACTAGTGTCCCAAATGTTTCTTGCTGTGCCCCCATTTCAGTCTGATCCCTCCACTTATACATCTATATGTGCTATATTCCCTTTTTATTGTTTTAAAAAAGAAATACATAAACATATAGACATATTACACAAACACAAAACCCCATCTACTACAATATATATACATATTGCTTCATCTATACCTTCATATTCCCTGCTTTCATATCTACATACTATCATACATCCAAAACATTTGTTACTTCCTTAGGCAATCCATATACGAGTATTTCTTTTCTATATCTTATTTATTTTGTATATCCTATTACTTCCTTTTAATGCTTTCTCTATTTCTTAATATCTGTATCTAACTCATAATGATAAGCTCAATGCCTTACTTCCTTATCTTCTGACTTTGAAAAGTGAAAGCATCTATTTCCTTTACATTGACCAAATAAAAAAGGAACTTTTTATTTCCAAACATATCTTGTTCTAATGCAGTGGTTCTCAACCTTTCTAATACCGTGACCCCGCAATACAGTTCCT